GCCTGCACTATCGGTCTCAGGAAAAGCAGAGACTGGCTAGTCCTGCCCTGAGCCTCTGGGCTTCCCTCTGGTTCCTTACTCTATTAAGAACAAGGCCTCACGTTGTCCCGAGCCAACCACCACCGAAATATCCCGCATCTACGTGATGGGGTAGCAGGACTCTCCGAAGCGTGCACCGCGACAGAAGGGGTCCGCAGAAGGGGTCCGCAGAAGGGGTCCGCAGAAGGGGTCCGCAGAAGGTCCTGCTGCCCCGCCTCTCACCTTCCCTCTCAGCCATTCCCGTCACCTCAGCTTCCCTTCTCTCCATCCGCACTGTTCCCATGTGAGTTCAGCGGCTGCCAGTGCCACCTCCCAGCGAGGAGTGATCTTCCTCAAACCCCCACCCCCAAGACTGAGGGTGCCCTGTAACTTTCACAGAGAAATCCAAATTCCTGCCGAGCGCAGTTTCCTGACCCGCTCACTCCCACCAGCCCCGGGGCTCGTTTCAGGCTCCAGGACTCGTTCTCTCCAATAGGCAAGGAAGGCCGCTGGGACACTGACTCCCGGGAGACCAGAACAAGGCTGAAATCTCGGCTGTCAGAGAACCCCCGGCAGAGGCGAGAGGCCAGCCTGGCTTGGATTCAGGGCCCAGGCAGAGAGGAGCAGCTGGACAACCCACAGGCTGAAGGCAGAAGGGCCCCGGGGCGGACAGGCCGTGGGCCCGGGGTCTAGGCAGGGCTGGAAACAAAACTGAAAGCAGCCACATAAGAAAGGTATCAGACACAGGAGTAGGGTTCAAACCCGAGTCCCCCTTTCCCTCTAGCGGGGCCTCATGCTGTACGGAGATGACCTGATGCCAGGGCAGACACTGGCACCCCACCTGCCAGGCTTTATCCCCCTGGGGCAGCCATGGAATCACCCCTCAGTCAGACGACACGGGAGGATGGGGGTGTCTGAGGGTCCTCCCTGCTCCAAACATCATCCCAGAACTCAGGCCTGGGACAGATGAGGGGGGCCCTGCATTTGCGTCACCGCACACCTGTCTGTGGCTTCTGCCTCTCTGGCTTCATGGCCCTACTCCAAGCTGGTTTTCAAGGTCAGTTGCCTCCAATCCATTACTTTCAACCACGGTCTGGTTCCAGAGGGACCGGCCAGCCTCTCGCTCTTTCCTTCCCACCACAGGCCGCACTGCCACCCAACGCCCCCAAAGCCCCAGGCCATGCCGGACTCCACGCCCACTGCCTGCCTTCCCACCCTCTCTATCAGTCGGCCACCTCAGAGGCCACCTGCTCTCAGAGGCTTCTTGGATGCCCCACCTCCTTTAGGTTCCCAGCCCCCAGGTGGAACTAAGTCCTCTCTAACTTGGACAGGCTGCTGGCCAAGCCGCTCAGAGCCCACAGTGACCGCCCAGCACTCTATACCATGCCATGCCAGGCCACGCCAGAGTGCGTATATATGATACAAGTTTAAGAAAAAAGAGCAGGCATGTGAAACAGAGAAAGCTTGAAGGTGCTAGCTCCTCGGTGGCTGGCCCACCCACTCTGGGATGGAGAGGATCCTCAGGTGTAGGACCATGATGGGGACAGTGGAGGCTGGTTCTGACCCGGACGGGCTGGCCCAGGCTATGGGGCAGAGGAGGGGCTGTCAGGGCTTGCTGTGTCAGAGGCTGAGCGGGAGGTGGGTGTGGGCTGTGACGGGGCCAGAAGCAGTGCCTGGAAGCAATGAGCAGAGGGAGATGAGCCACACATCCCAACAGCTCTGTGTGCCTTCCCACCCACCACTGGGACAGAGGAATAGCTTGTGACCCCAAATCAGGCCCGAGTTCTAAAGAAGCTGCCTACGAGAGTCTCTACCCTAGAGCAGCCACTGCTCTTAACCGGGAGGGATTACTGGTCCCATTTTACAGACAAGGAGACCTAGAGAGGTTGGAGCGACTGCAGAGGTTACATGGCCAGTGAAGATGGAGAACGGCCGAGAACCTAACGCTCCCAACCCCAGCCTGGCCAGACCCACATGCCGTGGGCCAGGGTTTGTGCTGGCGCCTGGGAAGGGGGGCCACTCAGAGGGCTGAGTCCCATGGACTTATTTCTCAGCCAGGAGCCTGGACTGACCCTGGCTGACCTCACTTATGCATCCGGCCACCTCTAATCAGAACCAGGCTGTGTGCTTTTCCTCTTGCTCGGTGGAGGCTCCAAAGAGCAGAGAGGCATCAGGAAAAGTCAGGTGACGTGAGGAATTTGATTTGCCAAATGGCTCTGGACTCACTGTCCCTCCCAGGAGCCATGGGGGTCAGAGGCCACTTAGGTGCGAAACAAACTGGGTCTCAGCATCCTGGACCTGCCTCGATTTTGAGCGCTAACAATCATTACTGTAGCTGACACACAATCACAATGTGGGGAACCGTCACGACTGACAGAGGGAGGGAGGCTGCTTGCCCAGCGACCCAGGCCCCATCTCCACTCACAGGCATTCATGAGCGGTTGGCCCACATCCTGTGCACTTGGCCTGTCCTCTTCCGACCTTCCGTGCGGCCTTTGGGAACCCTGGAAAAGCTGCCACTTGTCCCTCTGGAAGTATCTAAGAAGCCTGCTGTTTTTCAGATTGATTCATTGCCCAAACTTAAAAGTTAGGAGAGTCACACAAAACTCAGGAGAGAAGGGTCTTCTTTAACCAATGTGCTAGTTAATGCAGATGACAGCCGAGGCCCTCAAATCTGTGTTCTAGTTAAATCTCACAAAGATCCAGACCTGGTTCCCCGGGGCCTTTGGGGTGAGGGGGTAAGCGAGGTGCATGGCTCAAGGCCCCACTGCACGATGAATTGGAGGCGCGCGCGGCCCCTGGGGCACCCGAGTCCCTAGAAGTCTCCCCCTCCCCCTCCGGCATCGTCTTTCCACCTCTGCTTGACCAGCTTCCCGGGGCTGTGCTCTGCAGGAAATCCCGCCCCCGCCTTGGTCCGGCAGCCTCATGGGTCTGCCCCGCCAAGCTCCCCTTATCCTGGGGCCTCTCCCCTTGGTTTCGTGTGTGCTGCCACCTCGCCCGCTGTTCTGCTGTCCCATGAGTCTGGTCCATTCCCATCTCGGGGCCTTTGCACACACCCTGCCTGGCACACTCCCCCAGCCCCGCCCATGGCTGCTCTCGATCATCATTTATTTCAGGCTGGTGTGCGGCTTTCTTGAAGAGGCTTCTGGCGCCTGCCTGTGGGTCTGTTCCTCCACCCCACTGCTTTCCTTGCCAACCTCATCGCATCATAGCTAGTCACTTGGGCTGGAATTCTGAATCTGCCATTTCCCTACCCTGTGACCTGGGGGCAGGTCCCCAACTCCTAGGCCTAGCCCCGTAGTATGACCCCACAGTAGCCACTGTTGCTGCTCCCCACATCATCACGTCCCCCCCGACCCTACTTCTCTGGCTGACATGTAAGCCTTACAGGCCAAGCCAGGACCTGCTATAAACAGGACGAGGCCGCTGTCATATGGTGCCGGCTTTCCCTTCCTGGGGGCCTGCCTTCACTTCCCCTGGAGGCCTGCTCGTGGGAAAGCCGTTCTTCAAAGGAACAGAGCACACACAGCCTGGCTGAAAAGGGGACTCAGGCCACCCTGGCCTCGGGCACTTTATGGTCTGCGCGGAGCAGTCGCCCTGTATACCCCCCTCCTGGATGAAAGCAGGACCCCCCCCCAACTCACTCTCTTCCTCATAAATCTGTTTCTTATAAAACTCGATTTGGGCTTGGGGCTGCCATCTGGGGCAGCTCGGCCCACAGCCCCCCACAGCTGGGAGGTCTGATAAGGTGCATGCCAAGCTGCCCGCGTGGGCTGCCGGGCAAGTGTGGACCATGAGGCTAGAGCAAGAGCCAAGGAACTGCGGGGCTTGGCCCTTATGTCCTTCTGGGGACACAGCAGTGCTGGGGATTATCGCGTTCCTCTTCTCTTTGAGGAAACTGCCTAAACAAACACTAAGAATTCTAAGGAGTCCAGTAAAGTCGTTCTGATTAATTATCCTGGGTTTTGGATTTTTTAAATGTTTTCTCTTTTCTTTCTCGGAACTGCTTTCAGATAAAAATCATGCCCGGGGCCTCTAAGTCTTGCCTTGTGGCCTGTCAGCTTCTGCGCACGTGGGCACTTTACACCCAAGATCTCGTTCAATCCTCCAAGGACTCTGCCTAGCCAACAGCATGTCCACATTTTGTGGATGAGGAAGCAGAGTTTCGGAGCCTTATAGGAGGCCCCGCCAGCCCTGCCAGGCCCCCAGCTCCTTCTCCTTGTCAAGGGCAGCAGTGAGGCGGGGGGCTTCAGGCTGTAGGGCTGTGGGCTGTGCTGTCCACCTTCCACGTCTATTCCCTGACCATACATAACAGCCGGGCCCCAGGAGCCTCTGCTCCCAGCCCACTCTGCCACAGCACACAACCTGCCTTGGAGACTCCGGACCGTAGGACCTTATGGTTTATCTCAGGTGAGATAGGCTGCTGCCTTCGCAAATGCTTCTGCTGGCCAGGAGTCTTCCCGGATCCCTTCGCCCCATCCCAGCTGGCCCACCAGCCCACCTGACCTCCAGGGGGCAGCAGGATCCTGACCACGAGGAGCCCCCTGGCTGGTGACCTGGGGAACATGCTTGCTCCCAGACTCAGAGACGGAGAAAGTGGCACTCAGCCTGGTCGGCCCTGAAGCCCCCCTTGGGGAAGGGGACCATAAAGAACGAGGCCTCACTCTTCTTGGCGACGGCCAGCCCCCAGCCCAGAAAGGAAAACAGCTTCTCTGGTCATATCTGCTCCTGCGTGGCCCCGCCTCGTCTCCAAATAAAAACACCAGAAACACCAACAGCACTGGCGAGCAGGCAGAGGGAAGGAGCTGGGAGGAGTCCCACGCAGAACCAGCACAAGAGCACAGAACAGCCATTCAGGTCAACACCAAAATTCCCTGCCGTGACCTCAAAGCCCCCAGAATCAAGACTTGGGGAAGGGGTTTCCAGGGGCCGCCTGTTTCCGCGGGGGTGGGGTGTGCCTGGTCGGCACAGGCAGTACTCACCGTTGGAGCGGTGGATGCAGGTGTGCTGGTTGTCGCTGAGGAAAAAGCCACCGTGGCACTGACACTCGTAGCTGCCCATGGCATTGACGCAGATCTGCTGGCAGCCGCCATTGTTGTCCTGACACTCATCCACATCTGCAAGAAGAGGGGAGAGGAGCAGTCACACCCGGAGCTGGACACACGGACGCAATCAGCTTCGCAGACCGCATGGAGGCGCTCCGCAGAGCCACTCGAGTGGGTGGTCACGATGCTGTCCCAGGGCTGGCTGGCCCCAACGTGCCCACGCAGCCGGCACTGTTCTCAGCATCTTACCTGTACTCACTCTTCCAATCCTCACAGAAGCCCTGTCAGTCAGATCTGGGCATTAACCCATTTAACAGATAAGGAAACTGAGGTACAGAGAGGCAAAGCCACCTGGCCAAGGTTCCACACAGGCAAAATTCAAACCTGTGGTCTGACTCCCACACCTGGGCTCTCACTGATGTTGCTGGACCCCCCCGTCCCCCGTCCCAGGAAGACTGTGTAACCCGCATCATCTACCGCCAACACATAGAGCATTGCCGACCAAATGCCCTCCTCAATCACACCCCAGATTTACAGCCAGCAGCACAGGACTTTGCAGCTAGGGAGAGGCTGGAGGACAGCGGCCTGCTGCCCACCCGCTAGGCTTTCTGCCCTGCAAATTGATTCGAGAAGCCCAGAGAGTGGGGAGGTTTTTAAAAGCCCCTGACCTCTCTGGCTGCAGAGACTGCCGAGGGAGGCGGGCTGCCGAGCGGTCTCTCCTGCTCCCCGGGGGAGACAGACCTCAGGCCGACACTTGTTTTTGACCGGAGGCTGCTGGCACAAAGGGTGCTATTGGCTGAAAAGAGTCTTTATGGAGTTCTGGTCTTGAACAGAACAGCATGTTTCAATTACCAAAGTCGTAACCCCCTACACTGTCAGTTTGTTTAATGAAAGAAGGGCTTCTTAAACCTTAATGTGCCATGTCTGTATTGTCATTTTAATAGGCAAATATACGAAACCACAGAGGCAACGTGAGCTACTGGCTGCTCCGAGCCAAGACCCCGACCCCCAACTCACTCACTCACTCACTCACTCTGGCATTGAGCCTTTTACATAGTTTTTTTTTTTTTTTCTTTTTTAACATAACCATCTTTTATTCCTTGAAGCAAAAGGACATAAAAAGGTAAAGACCAGGCGGAGTGACCCGCCCCGAACCAGCTAGGTCCCAGCTCCAGCACCGCCAGCCGGCTCCTGCTCAGGCTTAGGGAAAACGGACCACCTCACCACCCAAGAGGCCCCGCGCTACCTTTGAGGCCGACTGTGAGGCAGGTCATTATTCTCCAGCAAGCTCAAATGTCAGCCGCGTGGCAGCCAGGAGGGAAGCAGAGCTCTGAACTCTAAAAGCCACCAACAGTTACAGCTAACGGGGTAAAAGGTGGCTCTCACTGGGAGAGGAGGATGAGAGCAGGGTCCCAGGGGAGGCTGCAGAGGGTAGGGAGGGCTTGTCCTGAGTGCCTTTCTGGACCCCATGGAGTGTTACCGATGCCAGTGCTGCCTTTGCTGGGGGCACCTCCCTGCTGCACTTCAGGGGTGTCTGCCTCCAGGCGTCTGTCCCTCTCTGTGACCAGCTCCAAGCCAGGCACCATGTCCTGTCCATCCTGTCAATAACAACCCCAAGCTAATGTTCCTCGAGTGTTCGTTGTGTGTTCGGAATGGGGCTTCAAGAACACCAACTCGCTCGATCCTTGCAGCGACCCTGGGTGATAGGTTGTGTAACCCCCTACTCCATTATCCAGATGAGGACACTGCAGCACAGAGAGCAGAAGTAACTCGGGTAAAGTCACAGCTGCCCGGAGTGAAGGCAGGACTCAACCTGCTTTCCAGGTCCCGAGCGCATGCCTCTGGCCGCTGCTATGCTGAACGCCAGGTGCAGATGCGAAGCCAGAGCCAGCCTGCCGTGGGTAACACAAACACGTGCCAGTGCATCTGTGGGGAGCCCATCTCTGGCCTGATAAGACCCTGTAGAGGCATCGATGCCCACATGCCGGCACGCTCACAACAATGAGACTTGAATACAGGTAGCTCAGCTCAGACCCCTTCACGACTTCCGTCCTCTGCCCTGGACCTTGGGGCTTGATCATCCTGTTTCTGCTCTGAGCTGAGGACAGACCCGAGTCTCCTATATGTCCCCCACACTTAGCAGAGGGCCTGGCTGAGCGGGTGCTCAGGTGTTGGCAGGAGAAACGGGATGGCACATGTGTACTTGCCCACACCAGTGATGGGGAGCTCACACCAGTGAGGGGGAGCTCACACCAGAGATGGGGAGCTCACACCTGTGATAGGGAGCTCACACCAGTGAGGGGGAGCTCACTGCCACTGGAGCACGGCACTGCCCTGGTTCCTTTTGGGAACACAAAGGGGGCTCATTCAAGGCTCTCCCCAGCCTGCCCACTGTGTGCAGTGAGGGCCCTGACAAGCTTGTTTCCAATCCATGATGCATGACCCCTGACCCGAGTGGGGCTGTGGGTGGGAGAGTGCTCTGCCTCAGAACCCTGCTAAGCGCGAGGTCCTTCATCTTTATTTATGGCCACGGCTGAGCGTTCCCAGGAGGCAGTGAGAGGGAGGAGGTGCCCTGGGCTCTGGGGCAGACTCCAGGAGGCTCCTCTCGGGAAAGCCTTTCAACTGGCAACAAAGGGACTGAAGGACGTCACGTGGAGGCCCCCGGAGGCCCCACTCTGCAAGGGTCCTGTACAGGGCTTCGCATGGGCCGCCCGGACCAGCCAGCCAGGTTACCCTCTGGAGAGCCCCAGCCTGCAGCCTCTGTCCCTTAACCCACAAACATGTCTGTGCCACCAGGACTGGTGCAGCCCCTAACGTTTCTGGGCCGGTGCGGGGGGTGGCAGACGAGGGCGCTGAGAAGGGAGAGGAAGCTGAACTGTGTCTGGTTCCTGACTTGGGGACCCTCGACTGGTGGGGTTGGGAGACACCCTCAGAAACATGATTCCAGTGTGCCTGCGACAGAAGACAGATGGCCTTGGCTCTGTGCGGGCTGCTGCCCAGCCTGAGGCCCAGCTCCTGGTACACAGCGAGTACTTACTCAGCCACCGCTGAGGGAGGATGGAAGGTGGGACGGAGGGAGGGGGACGAGGGCACCAAGGAGGACAAAAAAGGGACCTTGCTCCGGCTCTGCTCTACCCTCACCCAGCCACCCAGGCCTGAGGACCGTCTTGTCTGTGAAGTCCCCTCATCCATTCCTCCCACACCCAAGCAGTCACCAAGGCTGTGACTTTTCCTCACCACCTTGCCCATCTGTCTCTCCTCCACTCTCCTGGCATAGCCCCGGCTTAGGCGGAGGCCCCTCTCCACAGGCACAGACTACAGGCCTCCCTCCCCCGGATCCCGCCTCCAGCCTCTCCCTCCCTATCCCAGGGGCTGCTGTGACGACTGTGGACAGAACAGGACACAGTGCCTTGGCACCAAAGATCAAGGCCAAATGGGGCCTCTGGGGTCAGGTACCCTCATCTCCCTCTGCTGCACCCTGCATGAGTACAGGTCTGGATGCTGGGGTGGGGGCGCACAGCCCGCAGCTGTGACTCCTGCCCACCTCTGCTTGGTATGCCCACCACTCACGGACACTGGGCGGCCCCGCCCCCACCAGCTGCTGGAGCGTCGTCTGGGATGGGCATAAGTGCCGTGCGGGAGAGGACCATTTCCCAGCAAGGAGGATTTCTGCTTCCGAAGGCCTCTGCAGGCAGGGCTGTGGTTCATCCATGGGTTTGCTTTTTGGCCCAAGGTGCTGGTGTTTGTTTTTATTAATGGCCATTGGTCCTACTTTGGACCAAGAACCAGGTTTGCAGTTATTTACAATAAGTAAAAATTACTTCTGGATCCAGCTTTGGTTGCTTTGTGTTTCCCACGGACATTTTACGATCTGAAACAGAGACTCTGTGTTCTGCCCGGACCCCACCCATGCTTTCCGGGCTGCCAAGAGCCTACTGTGTGTCCGGCCCTGTGCCCGGCTCTGGCATCCCAGCTCCTGCTGAGGGCCTGGGAGCAGAGGAAGAGGCGCCGGGCCTTCTCAGAACCCAGCTCAGCCTCCAACCCTGAGAGCTCCCTCCTGGTCCCTGAGGGCTGAGGCCCAGCCCTCCCCGGCTCCTTTTAGAAGGGGGGCTTAGGCAGAAAAGCCTCTTGGCTATCGAGCGGCTCTTGCAAAATTGCATTTGATGAGTTAAGTGTAAATAAATGAGAACCAGATGGATTAGATTTCGGGTAAAATGCACATGGGTCTTAGAGCTCTGGGGCCTGAGTTCTGCCGGATCCAGGACACTCCCTGAGCTGTCAGCAGCACTGGCACAGGCAGGCAGGGGTGTGACTGGGGTCTCCCAGGACCTGTCTACTTCCTGGTCTGGGCATCAGCTGGGCCTTCTCTGGGGCTCCCAACTCTCCAGCAGGTTGGCGCAGGGTCTCCCTCTGCAGCCCTGATCTGTCACCGAGCCCCTCGGGCTGGGCCCGAGTCCAAGATCGGGGCTGGGAGATAAGGCGCATGCGTGGTGGGCTGACCTTCCAGACTGGCAAACCTACTGCTCGCATCCAGACCTGAGGAGCCAGCCGGGAAAGGTCAGTGCTCTGATGAACCTGCTGGCGTTCAGGGTCTGGTCGCATCCCTCACCTGGGCCCCACCTTCAACCTCAGCTGCTGTCCTGTTGTCCCCCAGCGATGGCTGAGCAACACTGAGCATCTCTAAAGACCGGACGTTTGCTGCCCAGCTCTGACTGCTGACCACTGCTCCTTACGATAATCTGCATGAAGTCTCCCTGTAACCGCTATCTACCGGTCCTGGTTCTGGCCCCTCCAGTCGCACCAGCTGGGGTACAAGATTTGGCAAGTAACTTGCTGTGTGACCTTGGGCAAGTTGCTTAACCATTTTGGGCCTTGGTTTCTTTATAAAACAGTGATCATAGTACCTGAGGTTGTTTTGGGAATTAAAGAAAACGGAGGTGTAGCACTTAGCACAGCGCTGGCACACGCACACACACCGATGAAAGTTAGCGCAGAATGAACAAAGCTACTGCAGGCGCTTCAGGGAATCCCAGGTGTGAACTCCCAGGTGTGAACGCACTCTGGGGATGGTA